ATACACTTCGGAGCTTCCACGTTTCCCTTGCCTGAGGGCTAACATCTACACTTCATCACCCAAATGATATGGCCGAATTGAGGATTTTAGTCTGTCACTCTAAAATCTTCAATTCTGCGCCTGATAATTTTATTTCCCTATTTATTTGCACCCAACTTCCAAGGGCTTTGACATCCATGAATCTTAGATGTAATCTTCATTTTAGTTGTAAAACTCAACATATTTTAACAAATTAATTGGCCAGATTGAAAGTAAATTAAGATCAAAGTGAAAAGATCATCACAACTTCTTTAATATTTTCATGGCTCAACCAATTCAAATCACCATTTCACAAACCTCAAGACACGGAGAAAGATAGAGAAAACTACTCAGAACTCATGGGGAAGACACACCAAAACTCGGAATTCATATATAAAAGCGAAGTCATATAAACTACAGTAAGTAAAAAAACTTATCTCTAATTTCTCCCCAAGAAAACTCCTTGAAGTTCCTCTGAATCTCTTCCTTTCTTTACAGCACACAAAATTCCTCTTCGAAGCAGCAAGGAGGAAGAAATCTCTCACTTTCCCTCCACTCTTACAATCTCTCGAAGAATTCCTCACAATTAGACACACTACTGGAACCTCTCTAACCTCTAAGATCTCTAACTCTTGGCCTCTTCCCTAACACCTCTTCCATTTTCGACCAAAGTCTTCTCTTTAAAGACGTGGATGAGTTTTCCCAAGAGTTGCCTAAGCATCCCTCAAAAAATCGTCCACATGACCATACCCGCTGGTCTCGCGGGCGACGGCCTCGAGGGCGTCGTCGACGGGCTTTCTAAATCATTTAATTTGGAGTCTCGGAAATTTCTCACCGTCGGCGCCCTAATTCAAATCTTCACATTTTGGTCCTCTTCGCTCCAATTCGCTCTTTTTGGCATATTTTTGCTCCAATGACCCTAATTCATCATTCCTGCAACAAAATATCAAAATATATTTTTTTAAAGTGCAATATCATCAAAAATAGTGTAAAATATGTATGAAAATCTCAACATATTTTTCTTTGGTCAGTGACGAAAAGAAGCTCGCTTCTGAAAGGACTCCTAACAAAGCCGCGGCCGCAGCTCCCTCTTCATCTGTCACTAGCATGATGACTGGTGAGTCATTGACCGTTTCCGCTCTGCCAAATCCTCAGGCTGATGGATCTTCCTTGGTTTCTTTATTCAAGAGGGATAATGTAAGTCAAGCTGCCCCTTCCTCTTCGTCTAGTTCCTTGTCGGAGGAGTCAACTTTATCCCCCGAGAGTGAGGCCCCACCTTTGCTTGAGGAAAATGGAGTACGTTGGTGAGGAAAGGAGCCAATGGAGGGAGTAGACGTTTCACCCCCTCCCCCAATGAAAAGAAAGAGGGGGTCCATATGGGATTTCGTGCTCGAGAGTGTGGGAAGGATGTGGGAAGATGTCGACAAGCGGTTTGGTTTGCAGGATCGATCCTTCGATTGGTACCCGCAGATGGATACAAATAGAGAATTGCCCCAAGCCCTGCTGAATCTTCTATGGTCCAAATGGCTTGACCGTTCTATGGGAGGCTTCAGTCTCCAAGAGCTTCTTTAGAACACGGGTCTGTGGTTATTAATCACGACACAGAGCACCCATTTCTTGGGGATGATCTTGCTCGAGGTGGAGCAGTCGATGTAGGAGGCTCAGAAGAAGAAAGTTTTGTTGAAGGCGAATCTGAGAAGAGCACACAACAATTAAGACTTTTTGAAACTCAGGCTTGACAAGTCTGTGAGGGCCAACCAAGAATCCCTTAGCAACATAGTGACTCCAGAGAAGGTACATGCTAGGCTGAAAGAGAGGGTCTCCTCGTCGTTCTCCAACAAACAATATGAGGATGGTCGGGCGGAGCAATTTAAACTTGGGGTAGACTATGTCATTCAACAATTCGTTCGTCCTGGCTTGGTTGACCCTAAGTAATATAACCAGAGAGAGTTTTCCGCTTTAACCCGTGAAGAGCCGGTAGAGAGCCCCGAGGATGAGGATAGTTTTAGAAGAGAAGAAGAGTTGACTAGCCGACAGGATGAGGATAGTTCCATTGTCATTTTTGCTTTCTTATTTCTATCTGAATGTATGATGCCGTACTACGCTAGGACTATAACCTTCTTACTCTACCGCCACAAATTTTCTAGCACGCATCAATAGGACATGTTCCAATTGAAATGATTTTACTTGTGTAAATCACAAATTATAAATAATGCACTTCCCTGCAATGGCCAATGTTGATCTTATTAGTAGTGATAAACATTGATAGTTGATATTGACAAATATTGGGCCATGATAACCAGCCATCTAGATTTTAACCTTTAAAATCCTTCTTAGGCCAGCCATCCATCGCCTTAAATGTGCATAAGCAAAATTTATTTATAGATATTAGGTGATATCATTTAAGTAATTTCAAGTAGAAATCATAACGCATCATTGAATTTCTTGAGTTAATTCCTTTTAATTAGAAACTATTCTTAGAAAATTTTGCAACTTAATGATATTAATATTCAACAATTTTAAGAAGAAACTTCTTTCAACAAGAAGCATGCAAAATTTGGAGGATGATTGACCTCTCTAACAACCTTATAAATTTCTCAATTGTACTTCTTAATTCTTGATTTAAGTAGATGACTTAGACCAAGATGTTTTTGATTTTATTTGGTTCGTCTCAACATTATGCTTATTTTGATTACATACATCTAAGATATGATGTTTTGGCCCTCAAGTTGTCCCATTAAAATTTGAACTATAAATTTTAACTGCTCGATTTAGGTTTAAGTCTAAAATCTATGCATATTCTTGACTATATTGGATTCAACTCATAAAATATGCTTCTTAAGGATATAAATTTGCCAAAATAAAGTCCAAATCTTTAATGACTATTTCCTTAAATGTTGAGCGACTAATTATAATCACCTTTATGGCAGATCTTAAATTTAAATTAAGGCCTTATAAAAGAGATGAAAACTCTCAAATTCAAATTTTTTACTTATATGGAAGGACAAATTAATCTTTTAGTCATCCTTAAATATCATTTTGACCCCTTACCCCCTCTTGCTCAAAAGAGAAACTGGTTACACCCCTTGGTTGATCATTGGTTGCTGGTCAGTGAAACCCCCACCCAAATCTTGGTAAAATTTTTAGGTGCGGAGTCCGCAAATAGGGCTGTCAAAACGGCTCGTTGTTCGCGAACTGCTCGTGTTCGGCTCGTTAAGAAGCTCGTGTTCGGCTCGTTAATTTCGTTCGATAAGTTAATGAGCCGAACACAAACTAAGATGTGTTCGTTCGTATTCGGCTCGTTTTGGCTCGAAATGCTACTCATCAATTATATATATATACCAAAAAAAAATTATATATATAGTAGTTTTTTTAAAACTTTTAATTGACTGTAGGGCTACAAAGATTTACAATCAAATAAAAGTATTAATTAAGAAAACAGAATAAAAATTATTAAATTAGATTCAAATGATGTTTTAATATAAACAATAATTTTTAAATTTTGCCTCAATCCTTAACATCTGATGACTACGTGAATAGGGTTGTCAAAACGGCCCTTTGTTCTTGAACGACTCGTTAAGCAAACGAGCCGAACACGAACACATTTTTTGAGCTCGAAATATAAACGAGCCGAACACGAGCTGACCCTGGGATCGCTCGTGTTCGACTGCTGAGCATGGCCCTCTCGTGTTCGGCTCGTTTACACCCCTATCCGCAAATACAGACTGCAGCTAAGATTGATGGAGAAAATAAATAAATAAATAAACGGACCTCCGCTATATCACAGCAGAGGTCCGTATATGCAGACTCTGCACATAAGAACTTATCAAATCTTGAGCTACTTCTTAGCCGGTTGGCTGCCCTAGTAGGACTTTAAATCATTCTGGATTGATCCCTCGGCCATATATGCCCCAAATAGTCTGACTAAATTCAGCTGAACTAAATATCTCATAAGATCCTTCTGCAATTTTTACAAAATCCTCAACATTAATTAGGGGCGTAATGAAATTTTTTTTTTTTAGACCGTTCTGTTAAGATTTTCATGTTCATGTACGCAATAATTAATCCTATTTAAAACAAAAAAGAACACAAATAAATATATAAATCAAATAATAATAAAAAAATACGACCGCTCAACGCTTTAAGTGCTTTATTAGCCTCACATGCAACTACACCATAATTGCTTTTTGCAGCACCTTCATAAAATATACATACATATCCTAACTAGCAATTAACAAGCTGGACACAAATAAAATAATCAACTCATCAGCTAACGAACTGAATACAACCAGGTAGATAAACGAACACCCCTCCCGCCTTTTTTTAAGCCAAATTAAAAAAAAAAAAACTTTGTCAATAATATTTTCTACACTAATTTACTCCCAACTCTATAATTTATATTTTTTAAAGATAAGATTATCTGTCTAAGTTTTTAAAAAATCATATTAATTCAAAGTTTCAACTTCGCTTCTTCATATAATAAGAAATGGCGGAGATCCCACAACGCTGCCGCCAAAATTATATAAAAATACAACCTTTCGTCAGATACCAGCTGAGCCAGCTCACTGCTAGTAAAGACACAGCTAAGCCAGATATTTGACGCCCCACCCGCAAGCCCTCACGCAAACGATTCTTAGCCAATCATTTCATACAAAAGCACTATGCGGGCAACACTTTTAGCTGGCAAACTCCAACAAACCACGCCCCCAGTTCCCCCGCCCCCCATAATATCCCATCATTATTCGTACTACACTAATAACCACATCAAATTAGCTAAAAAACTAATCGATCCACACCCACTTCCACCCCCCATCAATCCTACCATCTCGGTAGGTCCCGTAAACCCGCACCGCGACAACTGATACACTTAGGATTCCCCCGAAAAGAAGAGCATCGTGCAAACCAATAGTAAAACGAGTAGCTCGAATACCACGTGCTTGGGCCCCATCATTCATTGTGATTAATTCAAATTAACACACTAATTACCGCAATAACCAATATTTTATTGCACAAATCACGGAACTAATCCTAGTTCTCCCGTCGACTAGATAACACCGCCCAAAATTCCCAACGTTTGTCTGAACTCATCCCGCCACTGAAATTAACAGCACACCAATCAAGGTTAACCTCCGTCACTCTACTGTTAGCAATGCATAAAATCGGTTAAATAAAACACACCCAGAAATACACCCACACTACAAGAACCCGCCGTCACGGGAGGTGCCTCGCGGTTGCAACTCGTTCCGGAGCTTGTTAGAAAATAAACGGCAGGCGTCGTCGACGCTGAGGTCGATCGCCGCCGAGAGAGCAATAAACGCCGCCGCGTCCTCTGTGCATCCAACGTGCTGCACGCCTACTTCAACCACCGGCCCACCGGCCGGCCGGCAGGTCGTCCCTCTCCGGCGACGGTCGACGACATCACAAACCCCCGATAGGCGGCGAATGGCCAGAGGGCGTACCCAAAGTCCCCGCTGCTTTTAGGGCTGCCGCCGGGTGAGCAACCACGGCTGCCGGCGGAGGAGGTGAGGTCGATCAGGAAGCGACCTCCCTTCGACATGCTAATGGCGGACTCGGCTAGGGAGACTCCGGCGGCGGAAGGAGTCATGGTGGTGGCGTCGGGAAGGAGTTCGAAACGGTAGCCGAGAGCATCGCTGCCGTTCCCTCCGCCGCGCTCGCGCCATGCCTCGAGGCGGCCCCATGGCTTCCAAGTGCCGTCACCGGGGCGGAGGATGAGCCAGGCGCCGGGGTTGCTACGGCTGACACGGTCTGTTCCGGGGGAGGCGACGAAGGGTGTCACCATCGACGCCATCGCTACTGGAGAACCGGAGAGGTCATGTACGGTGACAGACCACCCCTTCCTTTCCTTGTTAGGTTTCTCCTTTTCTGATCCAAATGCCTTTAGCCAGCTCCTCGCGCTTCCCATTTCTGTGGGCAATGATCTGTATCCAAAGCCGTTCGATTAGATTCAGATCAGTAAAGCCGCTTTTGAGCGTATTGGAACATGAAGAAAAGATAAAATCGCACCTGGATCGGACATTGCGATCGACGGCGGGGTTGCGGCAAGAGAATTTGCAGGTGAAGACTGGCTGACGCAGATTACCTTGGATCTGGAAAACATGGGGACTGCACTCCGGTTCACCGCCGAACTCGAAGACAAATCTGGGATCCGGCTCCGATTTCACGGTAATGTGGACCTGAGCTGACGGTCCTTTGTTCGACTTACCAACGTTAACCCAGCCAGAATAATACACGACGGCCTTCCCATCCGCCGCCTTAAGATCCATTGGGACCTTCACTTTCCCAAGCAGCCGACCAGAGTATATCCCGCAAGTGGTGCCGCGCCGTCCTGTATAAATAGCGACCTGCAGCTTCGCCTTTCCGGCAAAGATCGAGTTACCCGCTAGCCGCTCTAGTTCAACGCGGCTTAGGTGGAAGACGGAAGCGAGTCCGGACTCTGCGACGGCGACGGCGCCGGCGTTAGTATCCTCCAGAGAGAGGATAGGGAGGGGAGCGGTTTGGCAAGGGAGATTGTGGAGGGTGATCTTGCAATAGCAGGGAGTTGATGAGGGGTGGACGCCGGAGCGGTCGGGTCGGGAGGCGACAGGGATCTTGAGGGCGAGGTTTCCAACGAGGACCCGAACGAAGGAGCACGGATCCATCTGTATTAGGGCACCAACACTGCAGTGCTGGAATTGTCGAATAAGGTTTAGGGTTTCAGCGAAGGTGGAAGACGAAGTCGGGAGATGGGGAGGGATTTTGGGAATATAAGAGAAAGAGAAGCGGGGAGGTTGAACAGGCTGGAAGAGGAATAGATGGGGAAACGTGCAGGTGTGTGCTGGCCCACCGGGGGATCCCCACGTACGCCAGAAATATATTTATAATAGACAGAAGCTGGAGCCAACGGTTCCAGCTTTCCAGCTCCGCTTCAGGTATTTACTTCCACCTCCTCTCTCGCTATTTATTTTAGAAGACACTTAATTTCTATGAATTTATATATCTTAACGCCTAAATTTCAAATATCTTATGAAATTGTTACCTACCTAAAACTTTATTGTGGTCCACACAAATTTTAATGTACATTTTGATGGACAGCTTTAACGATCAAGCTTCGAAGCTTGCACATCCTATCCTGATCAAAAGAAAGTTCTCAAGGAGACGAACTTGATAAAATAAAAAAATAATCCAATTGAGTCCTAGTGAATCCAAATCATTCACTTAAAGTATAGTTAGAAGATTTGAAATATATTTCGGGGGCTAAATGATTTCTCAAGTCTGATAAGTTTATAGTCAAATCAAGTGTCATGTCGAGCCGAATCTAATAAGTTCAAGATTACTTATTTTTTACATCATTAAGACACCTAAATACTCATAAAACATAACCCGATCAAAGGGATCACTCTAGGTCGTCTGATGTAGTGGTCCGGATTCATGTAGCATATAGAGGATGTCACTCACAAAATCTATATATAGATCCCCACTTCCTTCATTAAAGGACGACCTGAACCTTGAGGAGAAAATTGGAGGAGCTTCAATCTCATGAGGGTTTCTGAGCTCCATTGTTGCCTACTGGTCGCTACCTGACCATTGTGGTCGAGCCGCCACTGCCACCACCATCGCAGAACCCCCATCTTTACCACATGGCCACTGCCATTGCTGCCTCGCCATCATTGTCAAGCCGTCACCACCATTGAACCACCATCGTCGTTGCACAGTCACTGTCGTTGAGCCACCGTCACAGCTAGACCAACGTTGCCCAACTGCCACCATCGAATTACCATCGTCATTGCTTAGCCATCGCCTACTTGAATCACTGCTACTCTGCCACTGTCGTACCATCACTGTCTGATCTTCGCAGTCAAGTTGTCTCCATTACCCAACCACCATCCTTGCTGCCCGACCACCACAGTCTGACTGCTGTCACATTCAGAACACCGTCGAAACATTGTCGTTGTCAGACCGTCGCTATCTGGACGTTGTCCCGTCGCTATCTGGAAGCTGTCACTAAGGGCTACCACTCTTGAATACCATCGTCCGATCATCGCAGCCAAGCCTCCACTCCTTGATTGCCACGATTGCCACTAATGGCGACCCCAACTTCGTTGATCGCCGCTATCGAGTAAACTAACTTCATAATTTTTGGAACACAACCCCTTCCATCGACTTTTCTTCTTGGCAATCGGGTTGCCGCAACTTCATGCCAATGTCGGCTTTACCACCACTGTTAGGCCTTCACTATCAAAGGCATGAACCTTAGACTTTTTTGCACACGAACTCTACCGTCAATTTTTCTTCACAATAGTTGGGTCACTACAACTTTCTATCATTGTCAAAACTACCACAACCGTCGGGTCGCCACCACCGAAGACACTACATCAGAGTTTCTGGTATACGACCCACATCATCAGTTTTTCTTCATTACAGTCGGGTCACCATCTCTTTCTCAGCATTTTCTGTTACTTCCTTAGCAAAAGTCTCTACCACTTATGTAACATCTCTTTCGGTCACTCAAGGGCAGGTAAAGTCTTAGGACCTACATCGATATATTGTAATTATTTCAACTGGGTTTCACCTCATGATTTTTCTTGAGTTTTCCACATAAAAAACTTCTGTTGTTTGCTCAGTAAAATTCTTTTGACCTATGTGTGTCGGATCTTCACATTATATTGAGATGTTAATACACTACTATACTGTCGCAAATTTACTAGCACACAACATAACTGAAAATTTATATTTCACTTTTAAAATTAAAATAGTGAAATTTTATGTGATATATAAATATATAAAAATAAGGTGATTTGTAGGTGTTGAATCCCAAGATATCTTTAGTGAACACACCTCGAGAATTTGGATCGGGAGAAGGAGAAATATCGAGAGAGAGTAATTAGGCAAATTCTAGTAGAAAAATCAGGGAAAAAATCCAGTAGAATGAACGATTATGGAAATCGCTCTTAATGTGATTAATTGTATTGATCTTACACCAACTTTGTATTATAATTTGAATTTAAATATTGACAGTAACTAGCCGACCGACTTGGGTCTGGTCGGCTGAGAAAAATGAATGACGATCCCGCTTGTCGAAGTAAAAGTCGATCGGTTGACTAGTTGCGATCGGACACCCTGTATGGAATTTTTAGGAGATCAGGACTGCAGACGTGATTCGCAGATTAAATCCCTTGTCATAGTATGCCGGTTGACTCCGACCTGAAGGTCGATAGTTGAATGCCGGTTCGTATCAGTCTCTTTTGATCTGATACCTTAATCACACGGCCACTATCCTCGACCGCTCGATCTTTTTGAGATTCGTGTTGACAGTTCTACTGTATACATATTAGTTCTTCGAGTTTTCGCGCTTCTTGAAAGTGATAGCTATGATAAGGACATAAAAGTGACACTAAAATCAAGAAAATTAATTCAATAATTAACTTCCCTTTTAATTTTGTGTCAAACTTGTTCTATAAATAGAGTCATAAGTTTGACGGGACATCTACTATCCTCATTTTAATTTTCTAGTTAAACGAGTTGCCTCATGGCTGATGGTTAGAGCTGCATTGACCAAAGCAAAATTTGTTAATATTTTCATATCTATTTTATACTATTTTTGATAATATTGCACTTTAAAGAAAGATATTTTTGATGTTTTGTTGCAGGAATGATGAATTAGGGTCATTGGAGCAAAAAAATGCAAAAATGAGCGAATTTGGAACGAAAAGGGCCAAAATGTGAAGAATTGAACTAGGGCGCCGACGACGCCATTGACCCCGCCGACGGCGAGATTTTCCCGAAACTCTAGAATTAATTCATTAAGAAGGTCCGCCGACGGCGCCCTCGAGGCCGGCGACGGCGAGGTCGGCGGGGGGTTCTCACGGCGAGTTCGGCGGTTATGACCAATCAGGCTGTGGATAAGGACAAATTTTGAAGGGATGCTTAGACAACTCTTGGGAAAACTCATCTACAACTTTAAAAGAGGATTTTGGCCAAAAATTGAGGGGGAGTCAAAAGAGAAGAGAGTTTCTAGAGATTAGAAAGGTTCCATTAGTGTTTGCTATAGTGTAAATGTTAGAGTGTAAAAATTGTGAGAAATTCTTCGAAAGATTGTAAGAGTGGAGGGAAAGTGAGAGATTTCTTCCTCCTTGCTGCTTCGAAGAGGAATTCTGTATGCTGTAAAGAAAGGAAGAGATTCAGAGGAATTTCGAGGAGTTTTCTTGTGGAAAATTAGAGATAAGTGTTATTTATTTGTTGTAGTTTGTATGATTGATTTTATATATGAATTTCGAGTTTTATTGTGTTTTCCCCATGAGATCTGAGTAGTTTTCTCTGTCTTTCTCCTTGTCTTGAGATTTGTGAAAT